TGAGTAATTAATGACTTAATTTTCATTTTTGGGTGAACTAACCCTTTAAAGTTGTGTTGTAAGAGGTTTTGTGAGTGTTTTTTTGGACCAATAATTAATACCTCCGTTTTATCTGAATTTAATAGCAGGAAATTACACGTCATCCAGCATTTTAGATCTTTGAGACACTCTCTCAATTTAGATGAGTTAGTGTTTCCGTCTGGTCACGATGAAATATATAATTGAGTGTCGTCAGCATAACAGTGGAAATTAATTCCATGTTTTCTTATAATATTACCAAGTGGCAGCATATATATTGAGAATAGCAGAGGGCCTAACACCGATCCTTGCGGTACTCCATAGTGTACTGACGTTATCTTTAATTTTTCCCCGTTTAAACAGACAAAATGATAACTGTCCGATAAGTACGATCTGAACCAGCTTAATGCCTGTCCCTGAACACCAGTGTAGTTTTGTAGTCAATCCAAGAGTATTTTATGATCTATAGTGTCGAACGCAGCGCTAAGATCAAGTAGGACTAGTATTGAGATACAGCCTTGGTCAGAAGCTAAAAGTAAATCATTTGTAATTTTAACTAGCGCAGTTTCTGTACTATGATGCGGTCTGAATCCTGACTGTAATTTTTCATAGATATCATTTTCTTGCAAAAAAGAGCACAATTGAGCGGACACAACTTTTTCTAGTATTTTGGACATAAATGGAAGATTTGAAATGGGTCTGTAATAGGGAGGCTGGGTGGGATCCATGGTCTCGGGCTCTGGCTGGACGGTCTCGGGCTCTGGCTCGGGCTCTGGCTGGACGGTCTCGGGCTCTGGCTCTGGCTGGACGGTCTCGGGCTCTGGCTGGACGGTCTCGGGCTCTGGCTGGACGGTCTCGGCCTCTGGCTCTGGCTGGACGGTCTCGGGCTCTGGCTCTGGCTGGACGGGCTCTGGCTCTGGCTCTGGCTGGACGGTCTCGGGCTCGGGCTCTGGCTGGACGGTCTCGGGCGCTGGCTGGACGGTCTCGGGCGCTGGCTGGACGGTCTCTGGCGTTGGAGTGGGGCTGGTGCCGTCGTCCACGGTGAAAGAAGATCCACATGACACCAGCACCCACTCCACATAGGCCGCGAAGTCCCCTCGAGGAAGAACACACAGAGGCTGGTAACATCATAGTGAACATGAGGTACCAAGTCCAAAAACCTCTGTGTGTGGGCCTCGAGGGATTGATCCTCCTGCTCCAGGAGGAGAAGTTGTACAGCTGCTAAATCCATGTTTTGGGGGTCGGTCAATCTGTCACGGGTGTGGAGCAGGCAGAAGGAATTGGAGAAGTCCAAAGTCACAATAAAGATACATTTAATTCAAAAATACAGGCAGGAAGACGGGGTACATCGGGTAACATTCAACATTGACCGACAAAGACTAAATACACAGAGGAATCAGGACTAATGAGGTGCAAACAGGTGAAACAGATGAAACAGGACGCTGAACGGGAGGCTGATGAGGGAGTGAGTTCAGATGTGCAGACAAAAGGATCATGGGAAGTGTAGTGCAGGAGACGCAGACAGGATGGTGCAGACGCAGACTGTGACACTTCCACTACAGGTAATAGTTCTTTTAGTAGTTTAGTGGGTATTGGATCTAATAAACATGTTGTTTGTTTAGATGCAATGACAAGTTTATTAAGCTCCTCCTGTCTTATCATTGTAAAAGCGGTGTAGTTGTTCTAGAGGTGCCATAGTTGAGGCTGAATCATAAGACACCATAGAGGATTGTACATTTATAATTGTGTTTGGATGCTTTTTATTTTCTCATTGAAGTAATTCATAAAATCATTACTGCTAAACTGTAACGGTATATTTTGCTCTGGTGATGTCTGATTATTTGTTAGTCTACCACGGTGTTAAATAAAAACCTTGTATTATTTTGGTTATTTTCTATTATAATTTTGCGGAGATGCTCAGCCCTGGCTGTTTTTAGGGTCTTTTTATAACGTGACATACTGTCTTTCCACGCGATTCTAAAGACCTCTAAATTAGTTTGTTTCCATTTATGCTCTAACTTACGGGTTTCTCTCTTGATAGCATGCGTATCACTGTTGTACCAGGGTACTTTAGTTTTCTCTCTAACCTTTTTTAATCTAATTAGTGCAACAATATCTAATGTACTAGTGAAAATGGTGCTCAAACTGCTAGTCATTTCCTCTAATTCATCTGTTTGTTTGGGTTCACTTAGCAGCTTAGATAGATCAGGTAAGCTATTTGAGAATCTATCTATAGTGGTTGGTAGGATTGTTCTGCCTGGTCTATAACGTGGCGCAACATGACATATTTCAGTACGTATTATGCAAGTCACCATGTAATGATCAGTGACGTCATCGCTATGCGGTATAATATCTCAGTTGGATTGGTTCCATTTGATATAATTAAATCTAGTGTATGATTTAGACGATGAGTGGGACCACTGACGTTTTGTTTGACCCCAAAGAAGTTTAATAAGTCTGTAAACGCAGCACCTAACACATCATTTGTATTATCCAGGGCTCAACATAAAAAAAATCCCCACTGGCCCCCGGGGCCAGTAGATCAGAGTTTTGCTGGCCCCTTCTATATTTTGACTGGCCCAGAAAGAAATACAAGTAAAATCACTTTTACATTAAACTGTATTTATTGTATACATTAAGATTAATCAAAACAGTGAAGGAAGTTCAGGAATTAAGAGAGAGACCCTGGACACATGCAAAAAATAACCTAATTTTAGCGTCCAGTAGATTATTTGTCAATACCTGCTCTCTCCTCATCTCGATCACTCTCTCTCTCTCTCTCTCTCTCTCTCTCTCTCTTTTTCCCTCAGTCTCCTCATCTTACTTATTAAAGCTAAAGTATTCATTCAAGAGCAGTGAGTGATTTTCTTTTTGCCTTTAGTTGTTTGATTCGCAGTAATGTCGCAATCGTCCGCATATTAGACTGCTTCCCCTTTAAGAACGAGTGCAGATGTAAGTCTACTACTGATGCACCATATTTTCTCCCAACTATTTCCATAACTGCGCCCATTTTAGACATAAACTGTTTAAGTGAATCTCCAAGCCAGTCATTTTGACACATTTTTGTGTACATTTGATTGTTTAGACGCGCACATGAAGCCCAAAGTATATACTTATCTCGTTGCGGTCTGTTTCGCAGCGCGCGCCGCATCGGGAACAGCATCTCTTGCGCTTTTTGTGTTTTTAATAGCTCTTTTTATTATTAAACGCGCCCCGCAATTTAGCAACGGAAATGACTGCATTTTACAACAATCACCGATCGTGCTGATTCTGTATTAAAGTTTGAGTTAAGGAGAAATGACAGCGTGCTACTGTACTGCTGTGATGGGAAGGACGTTGCGCTAGACAGAATGCAGGTTTTAATGGTTTTACCTCAAATATATTCTATAATCTTTGGAAGCTGAAATCTAAAATAAAATCATATTACAGTATTATATCACAGATCTAAAGTGTATAACTTGAATGTTTAGTTCTGTCCTCAGTCAGGTGTTGTGCGCGCTGTGGCACCGCGTGAGATCTCTCTCTCTCTTCCTCTTCTGGACTGCGCGAATAGCAAAATGCATCACAGACAAATGGTTTAATTTTATTATATATAGGCCTAGACATGGCTGGCGACTCAGCGAGATGGTTAATTTTTTTATAGCAATAATAAATGATAGCCTACATGTATTTCTCCAGCGACAGCAATAACGAGTCCGAGCTTATCGATACAGCGGTCTTTCAAAATTCAGTCCCGTTTAATACCGAGTACCCATCCATCCCTACCAGGTGTACTGTGTTTTCCATGAATGTCCAGCCTCGTAGTTCTTTGGCATTTTAACATTGACACTCTTCGCGCCACACTGTTTATGACGTTTGCTGTTTGTTTTGCTGATCGCCAGTTACTGGCCCGCGCGGGCAAGTGACTGGCCAATCAACTAGCCCGACATACTCTTTTACTGGCCCCGGGCCATCGGGCCATTGCTTATGTCGAGCCCTGATTATCTACGTGAATGTTAAAATCTCCAGCAATTATTGCTTTATCGACATTCACCAATAGATCCGAGAGAAAGTCTGCAAACTCTTTTAGGAATTCAGCATATGGCCCTTGAGGTCTATATACAGTAGCCAAGGCTAGAGATAATATGGATTGCCTTCTTACATCTAAGAGCGTAACATTTAGCACAAGTACTTCAAATGAATTAAACCTGCGACCTGTTTTCTGAGTAACATTAAAAATATCTTTATAGATTGTTGCAACACCGCCTCCACGACCGATCGGACGAGGCTTGTGTTTATAATAGTATCCTGGCGGAGTAGATTCATTTAGACCGAAATACTCATTTGGTTTAGTAAGGCACAGAACATCGAAATTATTATCTGTGACCATTTCATTTACAATAACCGCCTTAGATGTGAGCGATCTAATGTTTAGAAGACCTAGCTTTAGAAAATGTTTTTGTTCACTGATATCTAGATTTTCTGGTTTAATTACAATAAGATTTTTGCTAGATCCTACACTACATTTACTGTTTGGCTTCTCTAAACGAGGAATAGACACACAGTTTCTATATAATGTTCCACACTATGCATATTAGTTAAATTTGGACAACAAAGGCTGTGATTTGGACTTTGACTTACTAGTCATCTGGTGCGTAACGTTTTGGAGATGTTGTCCGACTAGTGTGCCTAAGACTTCTGCACAGTACTGTATAGACAGATAGATAGATAGATAGATAGATAGATAGATAGATAGATAGATAGATAGATAGAAAAACCCACCTATAAAAAATACACACTCATATCTGGATAGAATTTACTACTTTGTGAAAAAATCAAACTCTATCATATCAGCATGGCTCTATTGCACCCTTGTTTGACCTGACACATGTTCTCCTCTACGAGTTCATTGGCTAAATTAACAATCAATCATCTGTATTAATTATGCCTATAAAAGTGCAAACATGTTATCAAGTCAGTTGCATGGGACCACAATTGAGTGGCAATACATCTTTGCAATGTATTTCTTTCTTTACACATTGTTGCTTATCTTTCAAATTCATGCAAAGGCAGAAAAGCCTCTTTGCCGAATGATGGGAGACCCAAAATACCCGCTGTTATCCAAGGATGGAGATATTATTATCGGAGCACTTTTTTCAGTCCATGGTATAGAGTCATTACCTTCATTTGAGTTTACACAAAAACCTCTTCTTCTATCATGCTCAAGGTTTGTTACTTTGGAAACTATTTTATATAATCCTTACAGCCCATATGTAATATCAATAATATAATATGTGGAATGCTAATGTATTTCAGGTGTGAACAAGTTAAATTTAAAAGATTTTAAAATAAAGTGTTTTGGTCTATGTTTAACAAACTGGTTTACTGTTTTACAGTGTGAGTCTAAGAGATTTTCGAATGGCTCAGACCATGATCTTTGCCATTGAGGAGATTAACCAAAGTCAAAGTTTGTTACCAAATGTTTCTATTGGCTACAAAATTTATGATACCTGTGGTTCAAGACTGTCTTCAATGAGTGCAACTATGGCATTGATGAATGGTCCAGAATTTACAGCAAAAAACAGATGCAATGGACAGTCTCCTATCCATACTATCATAGGAGAAACAGAGTCTTCTGCTACTGTAATTCTGTCCAGAACTACAGGACCTTTTAAAATTCCAGTGGTAAGGTCCAACAACATCAGAAGATGGATTAGAGTTAGGTTGACATAATCTCCAAACTAATGCCATTTTAACTGTTTGCTTTTTTTCCTCAGATAAGTCCTTCAGCCTCATGTGAATGTCTCAGTAATAGGAAAGAATATCCTTCCTTCTTCAGGACTATTGCTAGTGATTACCACCAGAGCAGGGCATTAGCTCACATAGTAAAATATTTTGGCTGGTCTTGGGTTGGAGCTGTGAACAGTGACAATGACTATGGAAACAATGGAATGTCCATATTTTTGAATACAGCCCAGGAGGAGGGAATTTGTGTGGAGTACTCTGTGAAATTCTATCGAACAGAGCCAGAAAAACTACAAAAAGTGGTAGACACAATAAAAAAAGGCACTGCAAAAGTAATTGTTGCATTTCTTACCAGTTCTGAAATGTATAATCTGCTTGAGCAGCTAAGTATTCAGAACATTACAGACCTCCAAATGATTGGAGTTGAAGGATGGATAACTGCAAAGAGTCTGATCATTCCAAACAGTTTTCGTGTGCTGGGAGGATCATTGGGTTTTGGAGTCAGAAAAATTGATATTGGAGGTTTAGCAGATTATGTTGTAAAAGCATTCTGGGAAACAATTTTTCCATGCCCACATGCTGAGGGGAATTTTTCTCAATATGCATTAAGTTGTAACAAATATCAGGATCTACTTGCACTGAAAAACTACAATGAAGATGTGCCTGAACAAAGATATTCAAGCAATGTCTACAAAGCAGTTTATGCTGTGGCTCATTCACTTCACAGTCTTCTCAAGTGCAAAGAACAAGCAGGTTGTGAGAAAGGCCTGACAATAGAACCACACCAGGTAAAACAAGTAAAACATAAGCGGAAGTGTAATAAAAAGTAAGAGGATAGCACTATTTATTTTTGAAAATCTCTTAAAATGCCTATTTCTCAATAGGTTGTTGAGGTCCTGAAAAATGTAAATTTCACTATAAAGATGGGAGATCGTTTGTGGTTTGACAGCACTGGTGCCGCAGTAGCGCAATATGAAGTTGTGAACTGGCAGAAAGACTCAAATGGATCAGTCCAATTTAAACCAGTGGGATACTATGATGTCTCACTTCCTCCTCATCAGCGCTTTGTGCTTAATACTAAAAACATAATCTGGGCTGGAGGAAAGCTAGAGGTAAAGGGCAATAGCATGTTTGGCCTATAGAGTTTCTTGAAACTGGAAGAACAAATTGGTAAAATACTTTCACTGTCCTATACAAATGACATAAAGGTTAGAAGAATACATTTAAAAATAAACAATCTGCACAGTATTAGAGTCAGTATTAAACAAAAGGACAGTACTGTGGTGGTAATGGTTATTATTTTTTTGTAAAAGCACTTTCAAATGATTTTGTTTCTGATATCTTTGCATCATTTAAAGATTGAAATATGTAACAGTAGAGTAATTATTGTAAATATATCTTCATTCATCATTTAGTATACATTACTAAGAGTAATGTATATTTCTATGTAGAAGCCAAGGTCTGTCTGCAGTGAGAGCTGTCCTCCAGGCACTAGGAAGGCTACACAGAAAGGAAGACCTGTCTGCTGTTATGACTGTATTCCATGTGCAGAAGGAGAAATCAGTAATGAGACAGGTAATCTTTAGCACATTTCACAGTTTTAAAATAGACCATTCATTTTTATGTTTCCCCTCTTGGATTGCAGGTTCTGAATGCTGTTCCCCTTCAGGTAACTACCACTGCATGGACAAAGTGGTGGGAACGCCTCCAGCGTAGTGTGTCTGAAGCATGAATGAAATCAGTCAATGGCGAGACATGGCGAGAACATAGTAGGCGCGTGACGTCACCGACCAGGAAACTATAAAGCACCCCTCAGAACACAAGCGAAAGAGCTTCTGTTACTTCAGCAGCGCTCTGTGTATGTTTGAAATCTGTCTATTTCGTGTTTGTCTGTTTCTAATTGTTACTAGGCAGGAGTTTTCACTATATTTATATCCACTATATATATTTAAAAAACCTTAAATGAACAGAGAGAAAGAAGTGACGAGCGAGCAGCATTATAGAAAGTGGTTTCCCCGTTACATCACAGTTGGGGATTCACACCAGCTATTTGTTGCTCTTTGGGAATGCAGCATGCCCAGTCAACTCTCGAGGGGGCTGATTGCGAGCGTTTTCCCCAAAGAACGCTGCGCTTGTGGCGATCGCTCTTTGAGGAGGGCAGCTCGCTGTGCGCTACACGTGGCGCGGGGTCCCGATTCTGTTAAGGCAGAGCGGAGAAGCTTGCCATGGGGTTCGCAGATGGATTTCACCAAGCTCAGCTTTCACCGATGAGATCCAGTGCCTCTGTCCCAGGATTGGAAGCATGCATTGCGGTTACCTCCGCCCATGCTGAGGCACATGATGTTCAGCAGCTTCAATTATCCAGTTCCGAGGAGCTGGATATTGAAAGTGTTGTAACTGAGGAGACTGGAGACTCGCATACAGCTTTCTCGCCGGTATTTACCTTTTTTAGCTTTGGCTAGACCTGTATCTAGAAAAATTTACACTAATCAGTCTAATGCTTAGACAGGCACAACTGTCCCTTGCTCGTATTGCTTCGATTCTCATTGCTGTAAATCAGATCAAGCTAGGCCAGTTACTTACTGGGAAACTTCCAGAGACCGTCCGGTCAGACAGCACATTGGTGGTCTCCTACATAAACTATCAGGGGGGACTGTGGTTGTGCCCATTATTCAAGCTAGTTCGTCGGATCCTTCTATGGTCCCAGGGGAAACTTCTATCTTTGAGAAGATTTATCTCCCAGGGTATCTGAATCAGGAGGCAGACATCTCCCCTGGATATTCTGATCAGAAGGGACCTACTATCTCAGGCGAGTGGGTCGATCCTTCACCCCCACCCAGAGCTATGGAGACTGTGGGCTTGGCCTCTGAGGGGGCTCAGCTCATAGAATCCGGTCTCTCGACTGAGGTCGTCGAGACTATTCTCCAATCCAGAGCTCCCGCTACAAGGAAGCTATATGCTGTGAGGTAGAACTTTTCACCTCTTGGTGTGGAGAGCGCCAACAGGACCCAGTTAACTGCCCCGTTGGTACAGTGGTACTCCACACTGAAGGTATACCTGGTTCCTGCTTTCCTTTTTTCTATACCTTAGCTGCTTTCCATGCCCATTTGAGTGGATTTTCTCTTGGGAAACACTCACTTATATCTCTCTTCCTTCTTGGCACTTTGAGGCTGAGGCGCCTTCATGGGACTTGGCCATTGTCTTAGAGGGTCTCTCCCTAGCTCCTTTCGAGCCCCGTGAGGAGGTTTCAGAGAAGTTCCTCACTCTCAAAACTATGTTCCTGCTTGCTATTTCGTCTCTCAAAAGATTTTGAGACATTCAAGCACTCGCGGTTGCCCCCTCATGCCTGGAGTTCTCACCTGGCATGGCTAAGGCCTTTCTCTATACTAGGCTAGGTTATGTTCAAAAAAGTTCCAACTACTGTAGTTAGACCTGTCATACTGCAGGCTCTTTGTTCTCCTCCATTTCTGAACTTAATTTGCTCTTCCCAGTCAGGGCTCTAGATATGTTTGTCCACAGAGCTGCCCTGTGCAGGAAGTCTGAACAGCTGTTTGTTTGTTTTGGGGCTCCCAACAAGGGGTACCCTACATCTAAGCAAAGGATGAGCAAATGGGTGGTCGAGGCCATCTCACTTGCTTACAAGTCGGTCAGTCAGCCTTCACCTTTGGCTGTCCAGGCTCATTCTACTCGAAGTATGGCTATTCAGGTTTTATAGTCTTGATTTTAGCTCCACTCCTGGGGCGCAAGTTCTTTCGTCAGCCTATGCGCCCTGATTACACACTACAGAGACTTGCTTGTATGGCGATGTGGGTATCGCGCTCCCACCGCGTTTTCCACGCAGCGGTAGTTATCTGAAGGGGAACATTTCGTGTATGTTGTATGTAAGCTGTTTCGCTTGTGTTCTGAGGGTTGCTTTACAGTTTCCTGGTCAGAGACGTAATTCGCCTAAAACGTTCCGTCTTGCCATTGACTGATTTCATTCATGCTTCAAATGCACTACGCTGGAGGCGTTCCCACCGCATTTTCCACACAGCATCTGTTCCCTTAGGGGAAGTAGGGTTACATACGTAACCCGAGACGTTTCCTTACTGTTACCGTCCCACTAGTACTGTTTTAGCACTGTTTTTTATACAAATTATGTAGGAACAGTAATAGATGAATTTATGACAAGTAAAATTAAAAAAATTTACATCATAACAGAAGTTCTGACCTTTGAAACAAAAAGTCGATGCACACTTAATAATTGAAACTTTGGTTACCTTTTCGTTATTACACGAGTTCCGTCGGATGACGACGAATGGGGTTTCACTTAGAAAGCCTATCGACTTTGAGTATTACAAAACGAGCCAAAGGCGAAGCAATGCCATGGGTCTGCGGAATTTGCATAGTGTATCTCCGCCTTACCTCGTGGGTATAAAAGGAGGACGCTGGAAACCACTCCTGCAGCCTACTCTCTATCAATCTTCGAGAATCTTTTCGGTGTTGGTGTGATGGCGAGTTCCAGCGAGTTTCATATTCCTGCCTGCTTAACTGAACAGCGTGTGTGTTTATCTCTGGGCATTTCAGCACTGCTGCAAGATTTTCTCTCACAAAAAGAGCGTGCATGCGGCACATCTTTTTAAAGACGCGTCATTCTAAAGACAATTTGCCTGTGTATTTCAAATTCTGAGTACGGTATTCTGATATATTTTGCTGATGGTCACTAGCACTGTTTTGACTTGTTTGGGCTCCGATCGCGCTCAGACAGCGCTCATGGATGTGTCACATTCTCCCAGAGGGAACGTGACCATCGCAATGTGATGGTAGGGACTCAATGAGGTCAATAGAGTGAGAGTCCCCTCATCCAGTCCCGATCTATTTTTCTCCACGTGAGATAATATTTCAGCTGGTGGCCAGGGTGACCTAATACGGCAGGTCTGGAACTAAACCGACGAAAATTCGTCGGTCCACACCCTGTCTTTCACATTGCAACCCATGTGATCCCGAGTGAGTTCGCCGGCCCGCCCGTTTCATTCAGTCATGTAAATCGGGGGTGGCGAACCCAAATCCTTTCTACCCGGATGTGCATGAAGAGGTCATGAGATCATGGAGTCTCCTTTGACTTTTCGCGACTGCTTAGCAACCTCTTCCGCCTTCTCTGCCCTCGCAGAGGCCGCGGCCAAGGGTACAATGGGGTTTCCCCCGTGGAGTGTTCTGTGGCAACACTTATGTGTCCCCACTGCAGGTTTTTTGTTTACTCCGGTGGCAAAGACCTATAGAGCTGCGGGGCAGGCTGCCACCTCACTACATTACCATCTTTTTGGGTGCTCAATGACATGCACAAGGGTAGGGCTGATTCACGGCTCATCCAAGAGCAGCCTGCCGTCAGCGACCTTGCTCCATGAGTGACGAAGGTGACCGCACACTCCCTGAGTCAGGTGATGTCCACATGCGTGGTCAGACATTTCTGACTTAACCTGGTTGATGTGCGCGAGGGCCGCTATGCCGTCCACATCCGGGCTGGTCATTCCACTTCGCTGTACCACCGAGGGGACATCTTTGGTTCGCGTGACCCCGCTGGCATAGTCATTGAGAGCCTCCCTGAGCTTCCCAACCTGTCTTGCTGGATTGCTCGAATCATCAGGCTCCGCTATGTGATTCAGTTTGAACAGTCTACCCCCCGCTTCTGGGGAGTCTGCTCTATGGTCGATAGCTATGCTCCTATCATGAGAGCGGAGGTTGCTACCCTGCTGGCAAAGGGTACGATTGAGACTCTCCCTCCAGCCGAAATGATGTCCAGCTTTTACAGCCCATACTTCATTGTCCTGGAGAAGGAGAACGGAGACATTACGTCTTCCTGCCACTTCAACTAGACTGCTGGAACAGCCGAGCTCAGTCTTGGATCCTCAGCGAAGAAACATATCTGCATATTGTATCCTTTTACACCCATGAGGTAAGGTGGAGATATGCTATGCAAATTCTGCAGACCCATGACATTTCTTTGCCATTGACTTGTTTTGTAATACTCGAAGTTGATAGGCCTTCTAAGCGAAACCCCATTCGTCGTCATCCGACGGAACGTCTCCGTTCCCTACTCAGGGAACGAGGTTTACATACTTAACGAGACGTTTTCATGCTAAAAGTTCATAATAAAACATATAATTTGCAATAAAACAGTCTTTTTTGTTGCACCTCACATTTGTTTCTAACTACAAGTATCATTACTTTCTTTCCAGATTCAAATAACTGCAAGCAGTGTCAAGGGGAATACTGGTCTAATGCTCAGAAAAATAAATGTGTGTTAAAGGCTGTAGAGTTTCTGTCATTCAGTGAAGTTATGGGTATAGTGCTAGTCTTTTTCTCACTGTTTGGAGTAGGATTAACTGTGTTTATGGTAATTCTTTTTTACAGTAAGAAGGACACCCCCATAGTAAAAGCCAACAACTCAGAGCTGAGCTTCCTGCTGCTCTTCTCATTGATTCTTTGTTTCCTTTGTTCACTTACTTTTATTGGTCGGCCCACTGAGTGGTCTTGTATGTTGCGTCACACAGCATTTGGCATCACTTTTGTCCTCTGTATTTCCTGTGTTCTGGGGAAAACAATAGTAGTGTTAATGGCCTTCAAGGCTACACTTCCGGGAAGTAATGTCATGAAATGGTTTGGACCTCCTCAACAAAGACTCAGTGTTCTTGCCTTTACACTTATACAAGTTCTTATCTGTGTTCTTTGGCTAACAAAATCACCCCCATTTCCCTACAAAAATTTGAAATATTATCATGAAAAGATCGTTCTTGAGTGCAGTTTGGGTTCTAAAATAGGTTTTGGGGCTGTTCTAGGTTATATTGGCCTACTGGCTGTCTTGTGCTTCATTCTGGCTTTTCTGGCTCGCAAACTGCCCGATAATTTTAATGAAGCTAAATTCATCACATTCAGTATGCTTATATTCTGTACAGTATGGATCACATTTATCCCATCTTATGTCAGTCCTCCTGGGAAATATACTGTAGCTGTGGAGATATTTGCCATTTTAGCTTCAAGCTTTGGTTTACTTTTCTGCATATTTGCACCTAAATGTTATATCATTTTGTGTAAGCCTGAACAAAATACAAAGCAACATTTGATGGGAAAAGGTTGCATATAGATTGCATTAAAAAATAAACGGGCATATATTAACATTGCATATTTTGATGTTTATTCTATAACATAAATAATGTTAAAGCATGTACAAACAAACACTTTTACATCATAAAATGTATTCAATAACAAAGAGCCAAATCAATGTAATGTCATACGTATTTGAGTGTATATTAGGTCAAATGTTGTTCAACCATGTTTGCATAGACACTAAAACGTACATGTGAGGAGGTTCAATAGGTGAGGAAGGAAGAAGACAGGGTCAGCATGACTGGGACTCGGGAGTTTATTCACAATTCACCAAATAAACAGAGCACAGCGCATAAACAGCGCACTCACAGTGGACAATCCACAGCACGAGACAGTTTCTATCTTCTCAAATAAATGGTCCTTCTTTCACGATCGCCAGTCTCCCTTGAGTCCCAGTCAGAGTCACTCTCTCTCTCTCTCTCTTTTTCTCTCATCGCCTGGCTCCGCCCACTCTCTCCCGCTACAGACTTCGCAGAACTACACCCCCCTCGCCACAGTACAACATTAATGTATTACCTGCATCTAAAAGGTTACTTATTTATGTCTGAACTTTACGGAACTTTATTATGCATCCTTATTTAGTCTCTGAATTTTTAATTAATGGAATTAATCTGTTGACTCTATTGTATTTATGATCAATGAGATTGTTTCCATTCACATTTATTAAATGCAGTTCGTTCATTTAATTAATTTAAAATTATAACATTTCATTCTGTTCTGTATGTCATCTCATGTCACATAATTTCAAAGGATTACATAATTCTGAACATGACTACACTATAAAATCGTAAAATTAATACAAGTTAAACAATCATTGAATCATTACATCATATAATTTTTATTTAGTTTGCTGTGGAAAATAAAAATACACCAAAAACGTACCATAAAAATAATCATGAAAGTAAAACATTTTCCAGTCCATGGTCCAAATCTTAAAGGTACACTGTGTAGTTTTTAAGTATTTTATTAGCTAAAATCAATGTCTTTATTCATAAATATGTCCTCATTGGTGTAAAATTACCTCTGCCAATGGTCTGACTTATCCTCGTAAGTGAAGAATTTCTTAGCTTTAATTACAAAACACTGATAATATTACTCCTTCAGACGCTCTGCAACACCCGGTTGCCGAAGGGGTGCGGAGGAACTCACAGGGTTTGCCTGAGTGGGGAACTCGACTGGAGCAAAAAGCGCACGTATCCGCTCCGCGGAGGGGAGTGGCGCAGCAAGCCGACACTAGAGCGAGAACTTCTGTGTTACCGGCTGGTTGAAGCGAGCACACAGGAAGAAACCGGCTAAACACGTAAGCTATAAAACCTAGTGAACGTGTTAGGTGTCGCCCAGCCCGCGTCTCTACAGATATCTGTCACCAAGGCGCCATGTGTCAGCGCCCCAAGAAGTGACACTCCTAGTGGAGTGGGCTCTCTATCCGGGCGGGCAAGGATTGGGCTTCGTGCATCCACATCCAAGGCGATGGCATCCACTATCCAGTGGGCCATCCTCTGCTTAGAGACAGCATTTCCCTTCTGCTGGCCTCCGTAACAGACGAAGAGCTGATCTGAGATTATAATCTATAATCTCGGAGAATCTCAGCAGCAGGAGGGATGTAGAGGTCAGTAAGCTGGGCTGAGTTGAATGAGGGACGGAGGGGGGTGACTCTGGGATGCCAAAGTCACCGTCAAGCCCTCTTGAGGTGTTGTGGGCTAGTCAACAAAACACTGAGGACAGAAGGTTGAAGACCATTTGAAGACCTTCAAATGGTCTTCAACCTTCTGTCCTAGAGAACTTGAAGACCCTAGAGATGTCCCTTACTCGACTCAATCCAGACAGGTGTCGTGCTGGTCCACAGGGGAGACCACACTGTAGTTGCAGCCGTTGAGTGTGCTGACGCGCCAAGTACACTGCAGCCATTAATGCCGGACAGAAGGGGAGTCACACCACCATAAGGAAAGAAGCGTAAATGGATGGAGAAGCGTAGTTTACTGTAAAGCTACATCTTAGTTTGAACTTATCTTGGCAAAAGCTGAGTACAAGTCAGCATGAAGTTTAAAGGGGTCATATATATGCATATAATATGCACCCTTATTCAAAAAATTCTAGTTGAGTGGACGTTGGCGCGTCTTGCAGCCGCTGCTCTCCGGCAACTATTTTTAATTATTTTTAACTATTTTACGTTATTTTAACGTTCTGACGGATCACTGGACCGTGTATCTACACTCAAGCGAGAGTAAAAGCCTTCGCCTCGCTTGGAACGTTCTCATTTAAGTTGCGATCCTGATGCTTCGGTGTGTGAGTGTGGTATACTAACCTCATTCTCCACTCATCTTCTCGACTCTACGCTGCTCCTGCTGCCGTTCAACAATGTGGGCTTGCAAGTTTTACACGTGGTTTATCCTCCTCTGGACTGTTCTTTCAATTTTACATCGACCCGGGGCAGGTCTGACCCTATATACAGCGGCTGATCTCCTACTGCTCCGCGGGCTCCTGTCTGTGCCTCCCCCGCCAGTTCTACAGCTACACCCGGAATCGCGCTCCTTCCCCGTCGGAGATACTTCCACCGCGGATCTCGCCAGAATTTCCACTTCGACGACTCCAATCCTATAACATCATTCTGGTCCACTGCTCGCCGTTCTCACCGATGCTCAAATCGGGCTGCTGACTGCGGTTCGCTTGCTTACCTTGCTAAGGCAGCAAGCCCCGCCCCCGGCTACAACAACTCTACTGTCAACTTTGGTCTCCTGAATGTCCGCTCTCTCACTAACAAGGGTCAGCTTATCCAGGATCTCCTCGTTGACCGTAAGCTGGACTTCCTCTGTCTTACGGAGACCTGGCAACAACCTGGTGACTTCTTCCAGCTCAATGCAAACACTCCACCTGGGTTTGTTTACCATTCTCATCCTGTATTTCAACTGCCTGGTCCCACTCCCACAGTTATTGCCACAGTCTACCGCCCTCCCAAACCACACAGTGACTTTTTAAACGAATTCTCCACACTACTCACCCTCCTCTCTACTCTCTCTCCTAATGTCATTCTCTTAGGTGATTTTAATATACATATGGACAATACAAACCTCCCACTCACCAGAGACTTTACCTCCTGTTTAGACAGTTTTGGATTCCATCAGTTTGTTGATTTCCCCACCCACATAAAAGGACATTCACTTGATTTGATTCATTGCTCTGGTTTAATTCCCTCCAATTGTTCAGCTGATGATGTTCACATTTCTGATCATTTTCTTTTGTCCTTTAATATCTCCCTGTCTCTCTCTGTAATTAAGCCAGTCCGCCAGATTTCGTTTCGAAATATTAAAAACATTGATCCAGACATCATATCCTCCTACACTGAAAATTTGCCTATCCCTGATCTTTCGTCTCCGGACCACCTCGCCATCCATTATAACTCTGGACTTTGCAATATTCTTAACTCCCTCGCCCCTCTCAAAACCCGATCTGTGTCCTTTTCCCGCTCTGCCCCTTGGTTCTCATCAGAGCTCCGCCTCATGAAAGCCAAGGGTCGCCAACTTGAACGCCTCTATAAAAAAACTGGTCTCCACATTCACAAAAAAATGCACAAAACTCATCTTCTTCTCTATTCAAATTCAATAGCTTTAATTAAATCAAACTACTATTCTGATCTCATCTGCTCTAACGAAGGAAATTCCAGGTCTCTCTTCTCAATAATGCACAAAATTTTTAACCCCCCTGATTCCCTACCCTCCCACATGTACTCTAGCGAGACCTGTAACTCATTGATTATCTTTTTTAATAACAAAATCAACTCCATTCATGAGCAATTACATTCGACCCCCTTTGCCCCTCCCTAATAGCCAGTCATTTTGTTGCTTTTTATTGCCCTCCTCCTCCGAAATTTCTGATTTCATCCGTAAATCCAAGTCCTCAACCTGTTCTCTTTGACCCCCCCCCCCCCCCACACACACACACACAGTTCTGGTCAAAACCTGTCTCACTTCCCTCCTCCCCCTCATAACCTCTATTATTCATTCCTCTCTTTCCTCTGGTATTCTCCCCTCACTTTTCAAAACTGCATCTGTCTCCCCGATTCTGAAAAAACCTGGCTTAGATCTATAATAATCTTCGTCCCATTTCAAATCTTCCCTTTATTTCTAAAATTCTTGAAAAAATAGTGTCTGCTCAACTCCACGCCTATCTTACCCTCAACAGTTTTTATGAACCTTTCCAGTCTGGTTTTCGCCCTTCCCACAGTACCGAATATTTTCCGCAAATTCAACATTCATTTTCATTGTTACGCAGATGACACTCAGCTCTATATATGCAGCAAACCCACCTCCTCGCTCCCCCCCTTGTCCCTTACTAACTGCTTACTTGAAATTAAAGACTGGTTCACCTTAAACTTCCTAAAACTTAACAGTGATAAAACTGAACTCCTTCTTGTTGCCACCAAATCCACACTTTCCAAAATGAATAGTTTCACATTACCCATTGACAATTCCTTGGTCTCCCCCTCCCCTCAGGTCAAGAGTCTGGGCGTAATCCTTGACTCCTCCCTATCTTTTCAGTCACCCATTAATAACATCTGCCGGTCTGCATACTTCCACCTTCGCAACATTAACCGCCTCCGTCCCTCCCTTACCTCTCACACTGCCTCTATCCTTATCTACAGCCTCATCACCTCCCGCCTTGATTACTGCAACTCTCTTCTTTTTGGCCTCCCTCAAAAATCTCTCCATAAACTCCAACTTCTTCAGAATTCAGCTGCTCGTGTCATCACCAGAACCCCCTCTTTTCATCATATAACCCCTGTCCTTCAACAGCTCCATTGGCTCCTGGTTCAATTCAGAATACAATTTAAAATCCTTCTTCATACTTTCAAAGCTATCCATAACCTTGCTCCTCCATATCTATCTGACCTCCTCCACATCGCCACCTCCTCCCGCTCCCTCAGATCTTCCTCTTCCATTCACCTCACTGTACCCCCTGCTTGACTTGTCACCATGGGGA